AGGACTGGTGGACTGACTTAAGACTTTGAAGAAAGAAGCACAAGAAAAGATGCCATTGGGGGTAGGTGTCCAAATTCTAGAATCTGCCCTAGTGGGGTCTAAGACAACGTTATCAAGAAGTGCAATAAGGTTCGAAATACTGTCAAAGTCTGAGTCCCTCAAATCCCTTCTTAGACCCAAGTTCCACCCAATCCCAGAAGTGGAAGAGGACGGGGTGGTGAAAGACGATGGAGGCATGGAGGCTATTGAGACTATTATGCATTGATGTTTTAAAACATGGAGGCATGACATGACACAGTCCAATACCTGGAGGCATGAGGCATAGTTCAAAATGTAAGAGGCCTAAGCCTACTTAAGAGGAGGGGGATGAGGAAGGAGGGGGTGGAGAGGCATGGGGATCTCATATGTTTTTCTTCTCTTTCTTTCTGTCTTTTTGTATGAGGCATATAGCCTCTAGCACACCTCATGCAAAAGGTGTAAGAGAGTCTGCGCATCCTTTGTTTGAATCCTAGTGTGCATCGCTATTTGGATGGGTCAAGCTTAATTTTGACGGAGTAGGCAAGATCAATATGCAGTGTGCAACGACTTGATTTGTGATCAGAGCGGCTTCAGGTGAGCTCATATCGGTCAATGGGAGCTGTGTGCTATGGCACCCTATTCATGTGAAAGTCTTGGCCATGCATAAAGGTCTAGTGGAGGCTTGGTGTTTGGGTGTTCAAAAGATATTGGTGGAGTCAGATGTTGCAGAGCTTTTTTCTTTCATCAACAACCCCTCTATTTTTTGATAAGTATTCATCAACAACCCCTCTTTGGTACTGAAAAAAAAAACAACCCCTCTTTGGCATCCTGAAACTCTATTTTAGGTCATTCATGAGATCATTTTGTTGACATCTTCATTCTCTGATATCTCCTTTTCTTGGATTGCTAGGTCAGCTAATGAAGTGGCCCTTGAGAGTGCCAGGTGTGCATTTAGCTGTGCTGTAATATATGAACTTTGCATTGTCTTACCCACAATGGTTAAGAGTCTCTTATGGCTCATGAGGCTCACTATTAGTAGTCCTGCCTTGGTTCTTTTGTACTACAGATTAAAAAAAAAAAAAAGAAAAAAATGATGTAGCTTCACATTAGCAGGAATTATTTGTGGGCTAAAACATTGAATGAAATCGAAGACAGTTGGTTGTAATCTATTCCTAGGCATTGAATGTGGGTAGAGCATATCAACTAAGGAGCAAAATAAATAATCTGATACTGGGGGAGAAATAATTGGCATTATATTTGTATACATTCAAGTTTATTTGGTAAGAAACTCATCACCTATAGATTGTGGAGTGGTGTTATCAAATTACCTTGAGTTTGTGGTTAGATTGAGTCATTGAACTAGGAGTATGATATTTCTAGACAACATATTCTCACTAGGGAGAATGATATTTCTAGTTGTACTTGTAGACTATGTGAGGAAAAGGAGATGTCGTGGTGGTCTGTGACTATTCTAAAAGGCTGAAAGCACACTAGAGACCTAGCACAACGGAGAGATGTTTTGGAAGTTGTACATGAATTTGAAGCCAATCAGGTTCGAAAATCCCAAGAAATCAAATGCCAACATGGCAATTCATGCTAACGTGAATTTCTACCTGGACAACCTTTTCTTCCTTATCTAGACTAGCAAAATTTGAGAAGTATCGTAAATAGTTGAGCTAGTTGGGAGTAAAGGGAATCTTGCTTCAGACACATGGTCCTTTTCTTTTAAATTTGCACATTCAGGTACTTGTGTCACTGCCGACATTTTACCCTTATCAAGTAATCACATCATACCTTTAACAAACTCAGATGCTTCTGATGACATGATTAGTGTTTCATCTTTGATCATTCATACCAACTATGCTCTGGTAAGAACAAAGCATTGATGGTTGATGGTTCTCATTTCTCAGGAGGAGCATCAAAGTATCTGACAGCTTCTGTTATTCATTTTCCTAAGCTAAATGCCAATTTGTTACCTATTAGTAGCCTCACAATGAACCTAAACTGTTCCATAACCTTCTTCTCCAATCGTTGTGTTTTATAGGATCTATTGTCCAAGAGGACTATTGGGAATGACCATGAGGTGTATGAAATATAAAAGATGATGGGAGTGACTATGAGTCTTTAGATGTAGTTTTTATGTCCACATTCTTGGTTCTTGTAGGTCCAAGTTTGATCCAAGGCAATCAGATTATGTTTTTGGGGTATGCTATAGCTTAGAAGGGGTATTTCCACTTTGATCTTACCATTAGGCATAAGTTTGTTTCTATTTCTTGGTTCTTGTAGGTCCAAGTTTTATCCAAGGCAATCAGATTATGTTTTTGGGGTATGCTATAGCTTAGAAGGGTATTTCCACTTTGATCTTATCATTAGGCATAAGTTTGTTTCTATTACTGAGCCCTTATTTCTTATATGCTTTACGGGGGGAGCATGCCAGCTTTGGTCCATCTTGTGTTTCCACTTTCTGTTCATGTTTTTTAAGAGGACAAATCTAGATACTGATACATCTCCATCTCATTGACCTGGACCTTCCATTGCCGTGAGAAAAGGTTAGTGGATCCAACTTCCTTGCTTCTGTCTCCTATGAGTTAGTTTGCGAGAATGTACAAGAATCTCTGTCTAGATCTAAATGGTGGGAAATAATGCAGAGTGAAATGGATGCACTTAAAAAATATCAGACATGCGGAGTGGTTCATTTACTAGTGGAAAGAACATGCCCTTAGATTGGAACATGGGCATCCTGCTATCCATCTTATATTTTTCTAAAAGTCAAATGCATATTTTTTTTTGTTAATAGTACTTGCTTTATCTCCTTAGTGTCTTAATGTATATCTTAATTTGTAGTCATGCTTCACATATATGCCATGTCATTTATCATGCAAGGGATGAAAGTGGATGAAACCAATTATGTTAGGTTTAAACTCCGGTTTGTAAATATATTCCTTGTGTTAGCTTTGACTTCATGGCCTTTGTCATGAAAAAAAAAAGCTTCAGAATTAGATGACCATTGTTTGATTCTCAAATCTATTTTAAATATTCGATGTCACAGATATAATCAAGACGATGGTGAAGAACAAAATGTATGTTGAAGCTGTTGAGGTTACATGGGTATTTGCTGTTGAAGAGAAGTTCCCTCCTCAGACAATGCTGACATCATTTTTACGTGATTCCAAAGAATCCTGGAAAAAAACAAGGAGAGAAGCACAGGGTTCACCGCTGCAACTGGTATGGTATATGTGTATATCTTGTCACTATATTTGCTGGGATTACCATCTTTATTGATCCATAATTATGTTTTCACAGAAAGAGGCAAATGAAAAGCAACTTGCTTTCCTGAAATCCATAACCAAGCTGATGGAGGATCACCAGATCGACCCCATGAAGTTTCTTCCAGGATGGAATATCAATAACAAAATTGCTAAACTGGAGAAGGAGAACGCATCATTTGACAAGAAAATTAAGGAAAGAGCAATTTCAAAGAGAAAAGCTGATGAGGTTGAACCCGCAAAGAAATTGAAAACCCATGACGTGAAACGTCCTCGGCCTACTTCCACTTTATCACTCCAGGCACATCTCATGACCATGCAATCACAGGAACATGGCACTGTTGGCCTTGCTCATGACAAAGTTTTGTTTGATGGATTAACAGGTAGAAATGTTTTCAGCAGTGGATTCCCCAGCATGCTGGGTGGCAACTCTGGGGTTCCTGTCATGATTAATGATGGATCACCAGGTGTAAGTGGTGTCGTTACTGCACATATGATGGGCAATATAGCAGGTAGAGGCAATGGGCTTGCAACTGGCACTGGAGCAGGAAGTAGTCTACCGTCATCAGTTCCATTTGCTGGAGTTGGTGGTTCTGGACAGACGAGTGATAGGGTAGAACAGATGATGAGCAGTGGTTTCAGGCCATATGGATGGTATGGGGATGGGACCTTCAATGGAAACTCAGTGGCACAAAGCTTTACCGGACTGCCTGCATCGAGGGAGAGAAGTTTGTTGGGGCCATATGTGGAGCCTGGCTTCTTAGGGCTCCAAAAAGCAACGACCCAACCTCTTGGGAACCAGAAGTCAGGCTCTGATATTTATCAGTTTGCTGATGCAGTTTTGGAACGTGAATCGTATCATATCGGTGGCCCTCGCTCTAACAATACCATGCCTCCTGCGGACCCTGTTAGTCACTCGTCTTATTTGCATTTACAATAATAGAGCGTCTGGCCCATTCACTGCATCATATCTTCTTTTCACACATTCTTTATCGAGACTTCTGGGCGTAAGACCGAGTACCTTTTTTGTCATGCAGGGGCGCTTGTTTCTCAAGAACAATTGGCGCATGACTCCAGAATGCTGAACGCGTCACCGGATATGGGTTTCTGATTCATCACCCCCATCCCCACCTTCAACACCCAACTCAAATGATGTTACAAATAAAAAAAATACCCTATGTAACAGACCAAAATTTATAGGTTTGCTGTAGTTATTAGGTACTTGTTTTGTTCTGTTGGGCACAAAATCTAACTATTTATGGACATGATATGATGATGTGACTCCAAGCGGATGACGGTTGGCACCAAATGTAGGCTATTCAATGGTCTATCTCTGGGGTCATGGCATCTGATCCAGTTTCGTTTTCGCCGGATTAAGAGAGTTATAGCCAATGTACGTGTGGTGTAGTAATTTAACCAGGCCAAAGGTGCAGGGAAGGGGTACTCTGTAATAGTTGAGTAGAGTGTTTGGATTAGTTCTTAGAAGTTTGTGTTCTTTCTGGTTAAGAAATCAAGCCCCTGTTTGGGTTTATTTTCAGAAATAAGCACTTATTTGGGTTTATTTTCCAAATGCAAATAATTACTTATTGATGTGGTCCTCGCATTAAATAACTGCTTATTCAAATAAGCACTAGGCCAAATAGCTTGGAGCTTGGGTAAGTGGGTTGGAACCTTACCTACTTGGAGCTTGGGTAAGTGGGTTGGAACCTTACCTACTTGGAGGTTGAGTTAGGATTGGTATCTTACCCCTCGAATGGACTAGACCCCCAAGTGGTGAATGTTAGTAGGTCAGGTTTGGTACATGTTTGTCTCAACCCTAACCTGACCCAATTGGATTTAGTAACATGCAATTTCTGAAGCTGATCTGACCTGCAGAAAACTTTTAAGTCCTTAATTTAAGTTGAATATGTCACTTTTTCTAAACCAAAATAAAAATGAAAAGAAATCTTAAACTTTAAATAAGATTTATTCTTTTACTGATGGTGGCTTAGCTGGTAGGATCTTCGACAAATTGGGGGTTAAGGGGATAGGGGTGCGCATGAAGCAATATATATATAATTATGATATAGTTATCCCTCTCGCATTGGTCACTTTGGGTGTTAACATGGTTTTATTCATGGATCAATTGGGCCTATTTCGTGGCAGACTTGCAAGAAGTCATTTGGTGTGTTCTTCTAACATTGAATTTGCCCTCAAGGAGTCAAGGTTAGGGTGACAGAGACAGAGACAGAGACAGGACATGAGTGCTAAGGCTGCCTTTGAAAACGATGCCAATAAGTGTGAATGTAAATTTGTAGAGTGTAAAATGGTCTATATAAATTGTAAAGTTTGATTAGTTTTGCATTGACAAATTCACATTCTTAACAAACAGACTTTTACTGTAATAGATGCAAACACGAATTCCAATAAAGCATATGTCTTTTTTTTTTATCAAAAGCCTACTTGAATACAAATTTACTTCTTTTTTATTAATATGCTTTTATGTCTTATTATCAATGTAATTATACATTGAAAAATGTATTTTCTGCCATTTATCAATGTATAAATATAATTCTGCCAAACACAGGCAAAAGTAAACCAAAGTATAAATTTACCCTGAACTAGGATTTACACTCCATTTGCATTGTTTTCAAAGTCAGCCTAAGGGAAATGCATTTGGAACCGCTATTGTTTATGCTTCTATAGTCATTTCTATGGGATTTTTTGTCCTTGAGATCGGCCATGGAGCTAATGCAATTGATGGATTTTTGGGTGAGATGTGTTGCAGACTCAACTATGTTTTCTGGAGGCGTTAGTGTGATGATGGAGGATCTCCTCAGCCGATATGTCGTTTTGTTTCCAGCATTACCTGCAAGCAGAGGAGAGATTATATTTTAACTTTTTATAGGAAGCAAACATGAGCACTTATAGCTAGCGGCCGCGTATAAGTGCTCGTTGATCAGCAAACTCGAAATTTTAAGTAGCGTTGTTTGCTTGGCCAATGGCCATCACCGGCCCATCAGCCCGATAAGCCTAACTTCTCATGTCTGAATTAAAGTGTCTACGGGCTACTGCACCAGACCAGCAGGTTTGAGGTTTCCATTCTGCATTTTGAGGCTTGGGCTGAAAACTTCCTCTCGAGTCTACTAGAGTCGTATAACAAGATCAAGAGGGATTGAATTCGGGTCATGCAACCGGATCGTATTCGGATAAACAGATACCATTACTTACGGTACATGATACAATACATTACAGCCCTCTAATAAATAAATAAATAATGGAGCCGTACCCGTAAGCGTAGGAGATTCGGACCCGGGTAAACCGCCTTCATCGCACGTAGGAGGCAGATACACGATATTTGGGACACGTGTTTGGGTTTACCACAATGGCCACAGCAAGAAAACGGTTTCCTCCTTGAACTTGATAAAATGTCCCCATTAACAACAACTGGGAATGCTGGAGACTCGATCAGATGGGGCGAAAGAGCAGCAGCGGCAGCACGGCGACGGTGATGGGGCTTCGCATGATACAATGCGGGAGACAGACGGCCCACGTGATCCGCCCAGACGGCCAAGTCCACCAATTCGTGATCCCCGTGAAGGTTTCTGATCTCATTCTCCTCCACCCCCACCACTTCGTCGCCCACGCCTCCTCGCCTACTTCGACCTCCTCCTCAACGTCAGCCTCGTCATTCAAGCGTTGCTACTTGTCCATTCTGCCACTGGACGCCCAGCTGGAAACGGGCATCATATACGTGATCCTCCCCTTACCCCGTCTGTTTCCACAAGATCCACCTCCCGCTCCCCGCCTCTGCGCCTGCTTTCTCTCTTCTTCGTGTTATTCTTATGACGCTTCCAGTGCTGGCACCGGCATCGGCAGTGCCATTAAGGCTGAACTTAAACGGCATTGGCCGAGTCGGGGCACGACCACTAGCGCTGCTGCAACTTCTTTTCTCCAGTTTTCTTCTAAGATATCCCCAGAAGAAGACGGAGGAGGCATCAGTGGCAGCAGTTCTACACAGTTGCTAAGGCGAGCTTGGGAACCGGAGCTGCAAGTTATATCAGAGGACCGTGCACTGATCATCAGTGAATCCCAAGGACCAGACGGTGAGGGTGGTAGTAGTAAGGGAAAGAAGCTTGTTTCATCGCTACTGGCACGCAACTTTGGCAGCAGCAACGGCGGGGATAGAGGTTAGATCTCAAGTCTCTTATGTCAAACTCTGATTTTAGACCCTAACATTCCTCTTGGCCCGGAATCTGCCACTTCACAAATCTTGAGCTCTGGCTCTGAGAAGAAATACCAACAGCCCAAGGGTCGGCAGGCTGGTGGGAGACAGAAGGCGAGGCCATAACTGATGCTCTTCAAAGAACATGCCGTCCAGTCCTTTCCGGCGAGTGGCGGTGGTCCGGTTACATCTTCCTCTCTTCGCTGGGGTAAGCATCTGACTGGTCCCGCCCCCGACATGGTCTGAACAATTGCCGTGCGACCCACCAGCTCTATTTTTTTTTTATTTCTTTATTATTATATAATTAGTATATGTGTTTTTCTTAAGCATATGTGTTGGAAGCTTTGATGTAACACAAGCTGTCCTTCGTACCGTCACCGTCGGATTTGTAAACATAAAAATAAGAAAGCTTAATCCCACAGCCTTGAAATTTTAGTAATAGGATTCGGGATGATATGACTGGACTACCACGTCTATGATTTGATCCATCTTATAAACATGAGTCCTAAGGACAAGTGAGCAACCTCAGCCTCAGGACCTGGTGTCATACATAGAGTTGTGTGGTTAGAGTTCATTCCATATCATATCATAAAGTGCATATACTAGCATTTCGATATAAACATCTACCAAAAAAAAAAAAAAATCTATGTGATAGACGAGATAGAACACCAGTATCATTTGTCTTCTTTCAAGGCTATTTGTCTCCTTGTCATCCATCTAAATTATATATTCTTTTCTACATTTGTTAATTTATATGCATAGCTGTTGTACAATAATGTTTCTGAGGGTGGCAGTAAATGATTTATGTACCATCAAGGCCACTTATCACATGCATCTGTCCAGCCCAAGCCAATTCCTCTTCTCAATCGTATGCACCACGCATGTGCTTTCTGAGTGCGTCTATTAATTATCAGGGTAAAATACTTAAACCTTTCCTGTTAAAAAAACAAAAAACCTTCAATCTCTTCAAATTATTTACTTCACATTTCATATAAATTATACAAATAATCACTTCTATTGATTTGACATTAATAACCTAACCGGTAAATTATTGAAATCTCCCCACAAACTTTGTTGAAACGTCTTTTACATAACCCCCTCCAACATCGTTACAATGACCCCCTCCATTATCTTGATGTTGAAAACTGGATCATATTTTGATGATTCCTCTTAATTTCTAAATACCTAGGATGCTTTTAAGCTTCGTTTGTTTTCTGAAAAGTAGCAAAGGACAGGTAAGTTAGTAGGTCCCATGAAAAAGAAATAAATTTATGTTCATGTTTTGGTAATTGGTATTAGTAGGTCCCGCTGAAAAAACGATTCTTGAGCAGCTCATTTAAATTGTATTTGACATTTCTTATTTTCTTTTTTGCCATTAAAAACTCGGGCATTTTAATATGACACAAGTCCTTCAAATAAGTAATGTTAAATGCAGTTTTACTTACGCAAGTAATACCTTCCCTAAATCTGGGAAAATTAATTACCATGTACATTGAAAATCGCTTATAATTGATGGGATAATACTGTCCTTTTAATAATGTTATTTTTTTGGATAAATCAGTTATTACATACTTTACCTAGAAAATAAAAGAATATGCTCTTACCCAGATATGTATTTTTCAAAAAGCACTTTCTCGGATAGTGCATTTACCCATATAAGTCATTTACCAGGAAAACGAGGTTTTATGATAAATTCATCTCTACTTTGTCTATTAATTTATTAACTTAAAAGGTTTTGGTTGTTTGTGATACAATTTCATTTGCAATACAAATGCATGAAATTGCAAATGAAAAAAGAGTTGAACCACAAATTGGGGAGGTTAGAGATCCCCAACGTCCCCTAGCTCGGGGAAACTCTTCCCAAATGTTCATTTCTATGGTTAGAGGGGAAAGCCTCTTTTCACCCCTCCCTACTATGAAGAATGAGAGCATGTCTTTTATGTTACTTAGTCGCTTCACAATTTCTACCTTGTTTTTCATGTACTTTCCATGTAACTTATTCCCACATTGCCACGTACCTATTTAAAAAAGGGTAAAATATAAGAACCTCTCCTAAGATTTTTGGCAATCATAAAAACCTCTCAGGTTTTCACTTTAACAAAACCTCCCTATACTATCTAAATATCATAGAGTTGGTTAAAAGAGAGATTTGTAAATTCTAGACCCTATTGGCCTCTTAAACCTCCTAACCTGTACCTACCCCAAAACCCATAGTGGGTTAGATTTTGAAAATTCAAATCTACCCTGTACATGAGAATGTAAAATCCTCGTCAACCCTACCCTCCTGACATTCAAGGGAAGGGCAGGTTAGGTTTAGAGTTTGCATCCAATTTTTTATTA